TTTAAATTTTGAAATAATTCTGTATATTATTAAACCTGCGACATATTTAAAAGGTTTAATAATTAATTTTTTTATTATTTAATTTTAGTATTTTTTTATAAAAATATCAGGGACCGAAAATAACAGTTTTTTTTAACAGTTAAACTTGGCCAAATATTTTTTAAGTCCGAAGTAAAAAGCCTTTCCGGATAATAAACTAACCGCTTATCCAAATTAAACAAATTTGGTATCAAATGAAAGAGGACTTATAATAATATTAATATTATCCTATTATTAATAAATCCTAAAATAGCTTTTTAACAGAAATAACAATCGAAGGTTACCACCTCTAATTATGTATATTTTTTTATAATTTAATACAAAAGAAATTCATATATGTATCTGAACCAAGGTTTGTTCTATGGCAATTAAATAACATCTTTTATTGAAACATTTTCCTCGTTAAGACATTCCAGTTTTAACGCAAAATATACTTTACATGTAAACAAGTAATTTTTAGCAAAAAAAAGAACCGACAAAAAATATATATATGTATATATTTATCGAAATCTTATCGAAATCGGTTGATGTGGTCCAAAGTTATGCGGTAACATACATAAAAAAAAAAATAAATAAAAAATATTCCGACGAACTGATAACCTCCTCCTTTTTTGGAAGTCGGTTAAAAAAGAGTCGTAACGTTTACTTTGTTTATCAAAATTTTAATAAAGAAGCTAGTTTTGGTTAGTCGCATACAATTTTTTTCGGAAAGCTATACGATTATCGATTGTAAGTACATTGCAAATCGGAACGTCCGAACGCTTCAAATAACTTTTGTTCATATTGTTCTATGTAGGTACCGTTACTCACAAAATTGAGTATACGTTTTTTAGTTAGTATTTGCAATTTTTTTTTTTGTTAATTTGGTGTTAAAATATGGTTTATATTTTAGCAAACCCCATTCAAACCGTGTACGAAAATTATGAAAAATTGCCAAGTTTCAGCAAAATTGCAAACCTTTTAACAAGAACTTCTAAAAAAATTAGTTATGTAGTTTTAGCAGATTTTTAATAATTTTCGTACACAGCTTCATATTTGAATTTAAATAGGGGTTTGCTAAAATGTAAGCCATATTTCAAAACAAAATAAAATACAAAAAAAAAATTAGCATGTACAACATTGCGAATATTAATAAAAAACCCATTAGACTTAGTCAGACTCAGCATAGTATGGTTTGGAGGCGTCGATATGTACGTCTGCTTGTACGAAGAAATGACTTCAACGAACGTTAACAAATGCCTTCATGTAAATTGTAAAAAATCGGAACGTCCGAACAAGTTTGAACAAAAGGCAACCCCTAGCTTCGGTCAAAAAAAATTTCGAAACTGCCTTGCGAAAATACTTTACTCTCAGAGGTTTACCCCGAATTTTTTTTTCGCTTACTTGTAAAGCTGTACGTTCTAATGTATGTAAATTCATTCTTAAAAATTTAAGTACTTTTTGTTTGTATTTGTTATTGTAATATTTTCGTAATTTTGTATATATGTTTATAATTTTTTTATATTTTTTTTACGCAGTTGGCAACTATATTTTTAAAATCAATTGACGAATGCTTTAGAAGAAATTAGTTATGATTACTGTATTTCATATCTTTTACTTTTTTGGAAGATGGCAACTCTTAGCAAAAATGCATAAAACTTGCCTCAACACTAGCTTATAATTGTAAAATAATTTAGCTCGCATACAAAACTTGTAATATTTTCTCGATATGTGGCAACTCTATTAAAAAATATATATATTTTTTTGATTTGGGATTTTTAAGTACTAACTAGTGTTCGCCCAGCGGTTGACATTCAACCGCTAAAATTAAGGGGAGTTGATTGAGTTGAGTTGAGCTGGGTTAAGGTGAGTTCAGTTAAAAAAAAAACCTTGGTTGGGATGGGGTAAGTGGAGGGGGGGGAGTTTAACCTACGTCTTCATCTTCATCTTCGTCTTCATCTTCGTCTTCATCTTTATCTGTTCCTTTACCCTGATCTATATCTTCATTTACATATTCACACCCACCATTGCTATTAGGTTAGATATTTAAATTTTCCTTCTCTCTTTGTCTTTATATTTGGGTTTCTTTACTTTTATTTTAATCTTTGCCTTTATCCCTTTCTTCTTTTACATACTCAGCTTTACCTTCTTCCTTGCATGAATCTTACTCTACATAGATCTGATTCCTAAACTGCTGCTTAGCGCGTTTCTGTAATTCAGTATCAATATTAAAGCATACATTTAGGAGGCATTTCCGCCCCAACCATGTACATATTCGGCATTGGTATTGGTGCCACTATTGAATTGATATTTTCGCTTTATGTTAAATCAATTTGAAATTTGAAAAATTGTCTGCACATCAGCATCAAAATACCTTTCTATACTACTGATACTCTAGTGACAACGTATAATAGCATAGACAGACGGTAGCATTGATCCGGATTAACATTGCAGTTGATCTGATCAAAACTTTACCCTCGCAGACGGCAGTAATGCAGATTAAAGAGCTGCGAGGTCGAGAGTTCGATCCTACGACCAGTAGAATTTACTTTTTTTTATTTTATTCAATTATTATTTTTATTTTTTTATGTGGTTTTTAGTTGATGTGGACTTTTTTAATAAATTAAACTCTAAAAATTATGTACATAAATGTAATGACTTGAAATTTTAGATAGCTGGAAAAACTTTCAAACCACAAAATATTCTAAGGACCAATTTTTCCGTGCCAGTTTAAGCTTAGATTAAATTAAGTAAACTGTAAAACAAGCAATTTTTAAGCAAAAAACAAAACCCACTTCAATTCATATATAAAAATTTAAGATTATCGTTAATTTTTTATGATCCAATGACCGGATTTAAACCACCTGTGACACCTTTCCTTAAAAAAAAAAAGAATTATCGAAATCGGTTAACGTGGTCCAAAGTTATGCGGTAACATTCATAAAAAAATATATATTCCGATGAACTGATAACCGTCTCCTTTTCGTGAAGTCGGTTAATAAATAAAATCGTCTTATACTTATTTTTCACGCTCAATATATATAGACTGCCAAACAAAATCCATTCATTGCAATGGAACTACGACACTAATGAGTTATTTTAGAATTCTATACTCAATTTTCGACAGGGTTAGTATAGAAACAAATTATGTTTCCACACTTGAATACTGAGTGAGGGTATGAGTGCGCTCGAGATGAAAATACGAAATTATTTAAAAGATAAAAAAACGCTCTCTGAGGGTCGACTCTCATTCGAAAGTTATCTTTAAATTTGTGCAATAAAAATCGATCGCTATTTAATTGCTGCATGTAAGTTAGTTCTCCACTGTGAAAACGGGCTTTATCGTGATAAAAACTTGTTTTTTTTAACGGATGTTTTTCACCTTTTCAATAACATTCTTCAGATAGCAAAAAAGCATAATTTTTATTGGTGTAACATTTTTGAAGTTAGCTGCAAATACTTACTTGGCATTGAACGTGAAAAGAGTTGGGTCGTAAAGCAATTTGTGTATGATTATTTACATATGGACTTTTGCATATAACTTCATCTCCAATTGGCACCAATATTGTTTGTCGTCCCGAAAATGATGAACCATCAGTATCATCAAACGGCCATTGCATTAAGGTTTCTGTTCTATTTTCCTATTATCGTTAAGTATATATTATACAACACACGATATTTATTTTACCCCTTTTTTTCTCTTTTCAGCTACTCCTACGAATTAATTAAAGAGATCGCTGATTTCTTATTGGAGCGCATCGACATTCGTCCCAAGGTTGGCATAATTTGCGGTTCGGGTCTAAACTCGATGGCCGATCACATCACAGACACGCAAGCCTTCGACTACAAGGACATCCCGCATTTTCCTGTCTCTACAGTTGAGGGTCATGTGGGTCGCATGATTTTTGGCTATCTAGAAGGCATGCCTGTGGTGGCCATGCAAGGTCGCTTTCACTACTACGAAGGTTATCCGCTAGCCAAGTGTTCTATGCCTGTGCGCGTTATGAAGTTAGTCGGAATTGAATATCTTTTTGCAACAAATGCTGCAGGCGGTCTAAATCCCAAGTACAAGGT